TTTTTGAGACAAAGTCTCAAGCTGTCGCCCTGGGTAGAGGACTGTAGCGTCACAGCTCACAACAACCTCAAACTCTTGGGCTTAAGCGATTGATTCTCTTACGCCAGCCTCCCAAGTAGCTGGGACTACAGACGCCTGCCACAACGCCCAACTATTTCGTTGTTGTTGCAGTTGTCGTTGTTTTAGCTGGCCCGGGTTTAAACCCACCAGCCTCGGTATATGTGACTGGCGCCCTACCCACTGAGCTCCGAGCACTGCCATACTGCTGTCATTTTAATTGGGATTATACTGTATATATCAATTTGGAGTGTATTTTTTGTTGTTGTTGTTGTTGAGACAGAGTCTCACTTTACCGGCATGAGACACCCCCTGTGGCCTAAGAGTATCTTGAGGATATCAGCAAAGTCTTCAGAGACATGACAAACCGGGCTTTAGAGCATGAGCAGAAGAAAAAAAAAAGTGCCATTACAGATTGAATAGGATAAAAAGTATAGAACTAATAATAAATAGCTACCACTAAATGAATTCCTACTCTACGCACAGAATTTTATCCTCACAACCACCCAGGGAGTGAGTATAGGTTATCATCCCCAATGCACAGACAAGAGTATACCTAAATCACAAAACTCTTGAGTGGCAGAGCCAGATTTGAAACTAGGATTGTCTGATTTCAAAGCCAAGGCTCTGGGTTCGAACAGGCACTTAGGTGTGTATGTTAAAGAGGTGTGAAGCTACGATAGGGAGCTACTGAAAGAGGAAAGCAGTGATGAGGCTGGAAACGTAGGCACCCGCGCTCGCTCACCTGACCACAGAGCAAGTTGGGCAAGGAAGGGTTGGGTTGGAATTGGAGGTACCGAATAAACCTATGTGTGTTATCCATCCCAGTTCAGTCTACTTAAAACTCCTAGAAGCAATGACACATCAAGCCATGTTCACTGGTGGGATGGACAAGGCCTTCCAGGTTTGCGACCCGCCCTTCCGGCTGGCTTCCCCGCCATATTCCACTGCCACCTCGCTGTAGACCCGCTGCCCTTCACCTGCCGGTGTCTTCGACAGTCTGTTAAGCAACGCCCTTAACTCCTGCAACACCTTAGGGAAAAAGTCGCGGCAGCCTCAAAACCCGGCCGCCATTAACGCCCGGAAGCTAGAAGAACCCAAGTGGGCGGTAACCGTGGCAGCGGAGCGGGAGCTGGGGGCTAGGGGCGGGGCCTCGGCACTTCTCTTTTGTTTATTGGTGCTAACTGCTGCCAGTAGCGGCCTCTTACCTCTTGCCCCACCCCTTCCGCGAAGCCTTTATTAAGTGACTGGCGGAGTGAGCCGGAAACTTCCGGTTAGGGGAAGAAATTTGGGCGGTAGGAGGGTCCGCGGAGAGGGAGGAGGAGGAAGAGACCTGGGCCGGGCGGTGGCGGACCGTGTGGGTTGTACGGTGGTAGTGGCTTTCCCCCGTGCGGACGATGGACAGCCAGGGCAGGAAGGTGGTGGTGTGCGACAACGGCACCGGGGTAAGCTCCTGGCGAGGAGGCCGCGGCGGCCACAGGCCCGGGCGGGGACGTGCGGGGGCCGCACGAGGCCTTGGCACCCCGGGCTGCACCTCTGGGCCCTCAGGGCGAAGGGGCGCGGAGCCGCACTTCCACCTCCGCTGGCGTTGGGGTGAGGGAAGCGGGCCGGCCCCTGGTCTCCCCGGAGCTTGCCACCTCCAAAGCCCACCTCCCCTGCAGCCTTCCGGGTCAGGGCGACGAGCGAGACTGGCTCTGGACGCGGATCCCGCTTGTGGACCGGCAGGGGCCAGAGTGCACGAGCGGGGACGATATCTGCCAGAGTGCCGGGAGGGGGTTGTGTATTTGGAGGGAGGCTCTGTCCCCCTGGCTCACCGGTGAGTAAAAAGAAGAACAAGAGGCCTTCCTCTTCCTGTATAGTTGAAGATACCGAACGGAAGACAGGAAACAAGTTTAACTTTAAAAAGGGGAAGTGCTGTCTTGCAGTGGGCTTTTGTCCTTTCTCAGTGTTTGTTGAGGGTTTGTTGGGGTTTTTTTCTTGTTCTTTCAAGAAAGGGGGAGACCAGATCGGCAGCGCATCATTTACTTTTTGCTGTGCATACTAGGTCCTCAAAGAACAGCATATTCCATTGGATAATTTCCGGAGACCTAGGACCTCCCTCCCCCGCAAGCCCCAAGTGTTAATTCCACTGACCTTGGCGGGGGGAAGGGGTGGGGGGGGTTAATCAGTTTTGTCATCCCCAGCCCCTTTTTTTCCCTTTAGATTGAGAATACAGATAATGTATTCCAAAAGCAGTAAAAATTTGTCTAACGCTCTGATTTAGAAACTATTTGAAAGTTACTTCTTTCAAAAGTCCCCCTTCCCATTCCATTTTTTAAAAATGTATTTTGAAGAGCAAAGTCAGCAGATTAGGAGACGGAAATAGTACTTTTTGAATGAGTTCTGTAGTGATTCTAACCATTTTGGCTGTCGCGACATTTGTGATATTTCCCCCTTCTTCCATAATACTACATATGAGTTAAAATAGATTTTACTTGAATTTTAAAACACTGGAAACTGGATTGTTGAGGGTCAAAAAAAGCTGGTACTCCTGTCATAATACTGCACTTGATTGAATTTGTTAAAGACTTTTACAAGCAATGATTATACTAACTTCATTTGAACTTGGTTAAAAATGGACTGGAGTAAATGTTGACATGTAATGGAACTTTTATTCAAAGTGTAGTACTTGGCTTGGCGCCTGTGGCTCAAGCAGCTAAGGCACCAGCCACATACACCAGAGTTGGAGCATTCGAATCCAGCCTGGTCCTGCCAAACAACAATGACAACTACAACCAAAAAGTAGCCTGGTGTTGTAGCGGGTGCCTGTAGTTCCATCTACTTGGGAGGCTGAGGCAAGAGAATCACTTAAGCCCAGGAGTTGGAGGTTGCTGTGAGCTCTGATGCCAGGGCACTCTACCCAGGGTAACAGGTTGAGGCTCTGTCTCAAAAAACAAACAAGTGAAGCATAGTACTTAAAAGAAAATGCAGATCTGGGCAGTGCCTGTAGCTCAGTGGTTAGGGCACCGGCTCCAAATACCAAGGGTGGCTGGTTTGAACCTGGCCCCAGCCAGCTAAAACAGCAGTGGCAACTGCCACAAAAAATAGCCAGGCATTGTAGCGGGTGCCTGTAGTCCCAGCTACTCAGGAGGCTGAGGCAAGAGAATCACTTAAACCCAAGAGTTGGAGGTTGCTGTGAGCTGTGACACCACAGCATTCTACTGAAGGCAACAGAGTCTGAGACTGTTTCAAAAAAAAATAATAAATAAAAAATAATGCAGATCTAATGCTATGGAAACATCTAAGATTTATTAAGTTAAAATTTTTAGAATTCCATTTACGTATGTGTTGTTTATTAAAGATATTTATATGTCCACAAACTTGTATTGATACCTATATATAAAAGTTTTGCAGGGATGGGTAAATAGTGGTTACCTATGAGACAAGGGATAATGGAGTGTGGCAAGATGGGAGGACTTTGTGACCTTTCTGAATTACGGGGAAAATGTAGTTTTGTTTTAACAAAGTATGTATTGTTAAACTGTATTTAACCTAAATGAATCATAAGCACATAACTACATTTACAGTTAAAATTCAGTTAGAACTGCTTTTTAAGAAACTATTAGCCTAATATCCACTTTAATCTCAAGTTGACCTCTAAATAAATTTAAAAACTTTAAAATTGGTTCAGCGCCTGTGGCTGAAGTGGCTAAGGCGCCAGCCACATATACCTAAGATGGCGGGTTCAAATCCAGCCCAGGCCCACCAAATGACAATGATGGCTGCAACCAAAAAGAAAAAAAAA